GTATTTATTAGTTTTACTACGTTCCCCATATATATGCAAAATTCTATTAAGATCGGGCAACTATATCATATAGCTGCCATAAGAACGATCGGTCGAAAATTAAGTTTTTGTATGGAAAAATTTTTATGTTTTCAAGATATCTTGACCAAACTCGGTATTTATTAGTTTTACTACGCTTCCCATATGTATGCAAAATCCTATTAAGATCGGACAACTATATCATATAGCTGCCATAGGAACGATCGGTCGAAAATTATGCTGTTGTATGGAATTTTTTTTGTTTTTCAAGACATCTTGACCAAACTCGGCATTTATTAGTTTTACTATGCTCCCTCCACTTATGCAAAATCTTATTCCATCGGGCTACTATATCATATAGCTGCCATAGGAACGATCGGTCGAAAATTAAGTTGTTGTATGGAAACCTGTTTTGTTTTTCAAGATATCTTATCCATACTCGGCATTAAGTATTTTCCCTGTGCTTCTTAAATACGGGCAAAGCACTATGAGCATTTTGAAAAGGTTGGGTCTGCAAGGGTATTAAATCTTCGGTGTGCCGAAGATAGCATTTCTTTCTCGTTTTAGTTACTTGCGGCATATTTAATAGGCGTGCAAACGCATCCCATGCCTTGTTTTGGTGGCTTGTCATTTCCATTTCTCAATTCTAAATGAGGACACCCAATTTGAACTATGCCACCTTTTTTTGTAAAGCATAGTTATAAAAAAAAATTTGCTGCCATTTGGTAGAAATATGTTGAAATATTGCCGCCATTTTGATGAATAAAAATGTTAAGTGAATATTGCCAGCTAGTTCTTTTGCATTAACATAGGGTGTAATATGAAAAATAGAAAAAAGAGCATTTCCTTAAAACTGGCTGGACGATTTTCTTGATGTAAAAAGCAAAATGATTGATAATTCGTGGTCTATATGCTAAACTACAGTGCATTTGGGGCCATTATCGGAGGAATTAATAAATAAAGGTTGAAATTTGAATAGATATTGCCGCCATTTTGATGAATAAAAATGTTAAGTGAATATTGCCAGCTAGTTCTTTTGCATAAACATAGGGTGTAATATGAAAAATAGAAAAAAGAGCATTTCCTTAAAACTGGCTGGACGATTTTCTTGATGTAAAAAGCAAAATGATTGATAATTCGTGGTCTATATGCTTAACTACAGTGCATTTGGGGCCATTATCGGAGGAATTAATAAATAAAGGTTGAAATTTGAATAAATATTGCCGCCATTTTGATGAATAAAAATGTTAAGTGAATATTGCCAGCTAGTTCTTTTGCATTAACATAGGGTGTAATATGAAAAATAGAAAAATGAGAATTTCTTGAAAAAAAAAACAAAATGATTAATAATTAGCTGTCTATATGTTAAACTACCGTGCATTTATGGCCATTATCGGAGATAAATAAAATTAGGATGAAAAATATGTTGAAATATTGCCACCGTTTTGTTATTATACTGTGTATAAATACATAATTGCACTGTTGCCTTATTTAGCAGCAGTCTATTTCACCAAAGATAATGTTTTATTGTAAAATGCCAATTATTTCTTTTATTAATTCATTTCTTTCACATATACAAATATTTTGAATTAATTTGTTCCCGCTCAATTCTGTATAACCACTAACCAAATAACATGTAGACTGGTCAAACCGTACATTTGGTGGTGACAAGCGTTTTTTTTGCGGCTGGTCCAAAGTCGCCTTCGTGTTTGTTCGGGTTCGAGACATGCCCGCATGCTCTCACAGCAAGAGAGTAAGAATACATATGACCTGTGTCGTGGAACGGCATCGCTGTCTTTTTACTCGCTCACTCTACAGGAAACTGCTTTGGCTTACTCTCATCCCATTGAGTAATAAAGAGACAGAGGAGGCGTTTGGATCAAAAGCTCTTTTTCGAAACACTTCGTGCGCGATAGCGAGGTTGCAAACAAAAATTGCAAACACAACACCCGGCTGTCTACAGCTACTTCTGCCGTTGCCCAAAAATCAAAGACAACTTCAGAACATTTCCCATATGAACCAACAACAACCATAATCAAAACAAACGACTCGACAATGAAAAAATCACACCCCAAATTCTGTATAATTTCCTATTTAGTGTGCAACTATTAGTACAATCAATAATAATTGTTTTCTTTAAACATTCTATACCATTTCTATACATGAGGGTATCAATGCCTCGACGCGCCAAATAGTTGTTGGCATGTGTGTCTCATCTCACACACATAGGCAAAAAATATTCATGTGTGTGTTTTCCAAGCCAAGGGAAGTATATGAATTTAAGAAGATTGCAACATGCTGTTGCGCATGTGACGTCACAAGCTAGGGCTTTTTGTATGCGATCGTGGCGTACAATAAAGTAATACATTATTTAATACATGCATTATTATAAAAGACCCTATTAATATATTACTTTAATGTACGTAATAAAGATAGAAATATATTCTAAGCATCACAAGAAATGAAATTCTTTAAAACGTGACGTAATAGTATATGATGTTGACGAGCCGTGTGCATAACCCTTTGATTTAAATGGCATGGCCTGCTCGCATTCGATTTTTCTACCTACTTGCGCCGAGACTCGGCTATGGAACAACAACATTAGAACCCAAATAGTGTTGTTGTTGTTTCTACGCGCCGCCTTGTTGGAACGACAGAGAAACCAGCAACAAACACAGTGGCATTATTTGTCCCTTTTTTTTGCACTGAGTTTCCTATGTCCTCATCATCGCGCAGAAACTTTTGAAGATCAAGACGGACGACGAAAAAAAAAAAGGGTTTTCGTGCGCACTGTTGTTGTTTTGCGAGTGATTTGTTGTTGCTTCCTATAGTAAATGAGCTTTATTTTTGAGTTGGATTTTGCGTTTGCGGACCAACCCGATCTACCTCTCGGGATTTTTAAAACGGTAAAAAAAGCTCGGAGTGAGCCTTCAGCTCTGTCTCTTTATTACTCAATGAAATCATGTTAGTAAACCAACTTGTATTGCCTATATAATTAAGCCACAAGTTAAATGCAATTGTCATTTTGAGAATACACGAATATTTTATAGTACAATAAGATTTACTACTGAAAATTTCATCAGATCGGTTAAGAAACACGAAAGAAAATGTGCTTTGGCCAGCAAACACGTGCAGCAGCAAGCGCAAATTCCAAGAATTTCTGCATACATGTACTCACACACAATCATGCGCGTCTTCTTTGAATTCTATCAACAGCATTGCAATTGCGATTGTTTTATTTTCTGTGCTGCTATTTTAATACGTTTTTTTCTCATTAAGACTTAATTATTGGTGTGGCTATTGAGTAGAGGCGGCGAAAAGTAGCGCGGTCAGTTACGAGTTGGCTGCATTTGGTGTATATAAGAAAAAGAGGGTTCAGGGTATCCCCTAGTCGGGAGCTCCCGACTAGAACCTCTTACGTGTTATTTTTTATTTATTTATTTTTTAAGCACGAAACCAAATAAATTTAAATGCAGAATTGCAAAAAAATTAAATTATTTATTGTCTACATTCATTTGTTTTTTAATTTTAGCTTATAATATGGGTAAACCAAGGGGTTGAAAAATTAGGATTCCACTATTCTTTAAATATCTTAATTCCGGGATAATTTAAGAAAACACATTTTTTGAATTTTTAAAAAAATGTCTGTATTGTGTGTTATTTGCGATGATTTATCGAATTTCGTATCGATGTTATGAAAAATAGAAAAGTTGCATTACCATAAACAGCTGATGTAGCAAAGAAGGCAACCAGTAATTTTAAATTTTAATAATCCCACAGTTTTGAACATTTAAAGATGGCCAAATCCCACAAAGAGTCCCTGAAATGGAGCCCCTACTTCGAGGTCGTATTATTTACCTTTTGGAAGGAAAACTTTGCGGCGTTTAAGTACTAACCAAAGAACATATAGATGGGACATGCAGTACTAGAAATGTGGGCACTAATAAATCGGGATATCTGGTCCAAAAAAAAGTGTAAGATATACATTGATATCTTTTATTCACTTACACTACAGGAAAGTGCTTTGGCTTACTCTCTTCCATATGGTTTGTGCGATAGAACGGTATCGCTGTTTATTTTTATCTCGCTCGCACTTCCTATTCATATAGAAAATATGCAAGTATGCGTGAATAGCAAGTCCAAAAACTTTTAAATGCACACATGCCAACGCTTAGGTACCCTTTCGAACAAGAACGAGCTAAAATTAAAGAATTTCGCATCGACTTGGCAAACCCTTTCATTATTTCATATTACTCGTCCCCTCAAAAGGGAAGAAATGCCACCGACTTTTGAGAAAAATTGAATTTGTGGGCATTTTTGCTTGTGCGGACACATACACACACAAACATTTAAACGGTACCTAGACATAAAGAGAGCATTGAGAGCACTGACAGTAAGTGCGAGCGAGATAAAAATAAACAGCGATGCCGTTCTATCGCACAAATGATATGGAAGAGAGTAAGCCAAAGCAGTTTCCTGTAGTGGGAGCGAGATAAAAAACAGCGATGCCGTTCTATCGCACAAATCATATGGAAGAGAGTAAGCCAAAGGAGTTTCCTGTAGTGTGAGCGATCAAAAGATATCATATGTATATCTTACTCGCTCGTTGGACCAGATGCAAATTTTTTTTGGTTCCCAAATTTCTAGTACGTCATGTCCCATCTATATGTTTTTTGGTTAGTGGTTACACATTTTGGGACAAAATTATAATACCCTCTGCAAGTGGATAACAAATTCACACGCCGTAAGCTGCGCACCTCATGCAACGGCCGTGCTTTTCTTTCACACTATGTATGGAAAATGCATTCTTGATGTTACGGAACTGCTTGTTTCTCAGTGGGCTGCGCCGGCTGGCTCATCGGTTTCTCTGGGTGTAGTCCCATCCCTGGCCCGCAGTCCGCACAATCGATATTAACAAAACTTCAACGTCTGTAGCAAAACCTACCTATACAACACTCTTCAAAATGAACTACATAATCGATAACAACAAACAATCGGAACTTCTAACAAATGAACAACACTAACAGCTGTAACAACAAGAAAATGTAAGCAAAAAAGGTGAGGCGCTCGATATAAATTAACAAAAAAAACACTTTTTAACCACTTTACTCTTCCAGATCGGGTTCCGGTTCCGGACCCCGCGTACCTGCCCTACCTGAGACGATCCGCTGATCTTGTCTCCCACATTTTGGCCACTAGATGGCCTGCAACAGCCCGTATTGGCTGACATGTCCCCTTTTCCCCTCAATTGCGATTAAGCTGGACATTTCTCTCTACAGTAGGTGCGTATAATTGGTTGCGTTTCTTATAATTATTAACAATTTTAACATCTCTTATCTCCTATTTTTACAGGGTATCCCCATTCTGCAATTTATTCTATGCAAGCTGACATTGTCTTCAATTCTTCAACAGGTGCGTGTTATTGCTTTGCTTTGCCTTATAATTATCACAATTGTGATTTAATTTCTAAAATTTCATTTATCTTACAGAATACATTTTTATTTAACAACATTAAATGAAACAAGCGACGAAACACTGCAAAGTTATTGCCAGTCAAGAAAAGAAAAAAATAACCAGGGGAAAGATATAACACCAGGTAATTAATTCACCAATGGGGAGCAAGTACCCGCTAAAATACTGAAATGCGTGTATATATATATATATATATGTTACAAAAAAAAGAAGTTATATGTTTGTCAAGAGCGCTTATAATACCTTGCCTGCCTAAAGAGCTCTCTGGGTGGGGGCGGTAAGGGCCATCACAATGGTTATTCTGCACATATGGTGTATGACATATGCATATATGTATATACATATATATAAGCGGGTATCGCTCGTGCAAAATTTATCAAAAATCTAATTATTTTGTTTTTTTATTTGTTTGGCAGACGCAATAATCTTTGGGGCCTTTCCTTCACTGTTCGCACTTTCGAAAATTTTCTTACGTGAAACTAGGCGTAAGTATATTATATATTCATACAAAAGAACTAATTCTAATGGCAAAAAAAATCTTTTCTCCGTCGGGGTCTCGAGCACAAGTCTACGTCTGACTCTGATGATGTGGGCTTGGTGTTGCTTATGGCCACTTCTTAGCCTGTCCTTCGGGATACGGTCGGTGACTGGTGCGCCGTGGGTATGGCTGAGGTGCGCCGCTGCGTCGAAAACTGGTCCCTTCGGTGGCGGAGCCGTTTATTTTGTTAATTGTCTTATGATTTTTATTTGTACGTCTCGTGTCGCACGTAAGTTTTTAGTGTTTTCTAATTTTTCTATAATGTGACACAATGTTTAAATTCGGATTATTAAACGGCAAACAAAATTTAATTGTTTAATTTTAAATTGCAGAAAACTTTTCTAGAAAATTTTTTTTTATGGGGCCGACATGTAAAAAAAAAAATAACTTTAAGCTCGCTTTGAGCACGCCCGCCGTTGACTGCTGATTATATCGAACTCCCTGCTGTACATTTGGGCAGCAACATCGGTGCCGAATTTCGGCACACGCAAACATTTACTAGGCGGACACCGTTGCTGTCCATCTGCACGGCTGCATTTTTTGGGTCAACGGCCCAAATGAAGGCCAAGGGCATATCAAAGGGCATGCGATCCGCTCTCCCTAAAATCTCTTTAAGGGCGAATCGGGCGGCCAATAGCAATCGCCCCTTTTGGCGCCGTGGATCACAAGCCCGGCATTTCCAATCTTCAATAAATTGGGCGCCGCTGTGGGCCCAGCTTCACCCCCGATACCCTGATATCGGCGTGGCCGATAATAAAGAACGCACCCAACTAGGCAAACTATCGATGCTGCCGATAACGTCAAATGCAACATTGATACGAATTTGTGTTTATAATCCGATTAACTAATATATAAATTGCATTGTAAAATATATGAATGCCACTTTATTCCACTTTTCTTGTTATAGCCTCTGTCCACTGAACAAATTTCTTGAAAATGTCATATTTTTGCAAAATGTGTAAAATTCGGCCTGTACGTTTTCCCATAGGAAAACACATTTCACATTTTTGAAAAATGTGTAAATTCGCCCCGAACAGTTCGTGTTTTTTGCGATGATTTATCGAGTTTTCTATCGATGTTGTGAAAAATGTGAATGTGTTCATTACCATAAACAGCTGATATTGCAACGAAGGCAAGCAATAACTTTAAAATATTATTTTAAATTTTAATATTCCCACAGCTTATAACATTTAAAGTTGGCGGTACTTTTGCCAATCACATGTTACCGAAAACCGGTGGAGCACCAATATGTGAAACTTGAAAATGTGACATTTTTAAGCCCAGTGGAGTAAGACTATTACATATATTTGTGCAACACTATTATAATCCTTTTCTTAACACAATTAATTGAAACATAAAATCTTACCATTTTGCGATTCCTGGAGCCATTTGAAGTTTTTTCTTATCTTAGTATAATAAAAAGTATATTTATATATAGTATACATATATATATATATATATATAAAACATAAAATCTTACCATTTTGCGATTCCTGGAGCCATTTGAAGTTTTTTCTTATCTTAGTATAATAAAAAGTATATTTATATATAGTATATATATATATGTATATATATATATACTATATAAGTAGTAATTAATTTAATTAATAAGAATATTTTATTATAAATTGTAATGTTACAAAATCGGCGTCATAATTAAAAGTGCCGCTATGTTAGGGGCTGCCAACTTATAAAGAATGCTAACCTATGTGAACATAAAGGTGCCACCTTGTGAGAATAAATAAAAGAGAAAAGTAAAAGTATACATAACGATAAATATTTTGTTAACATGATATTTATATTAAATAGTTGTTGAAACATTCTACAATTTGGGTCATTATATGTTTAAATATAAATAAAGATGCGAATTATAGATTTTTATTGCAAGCCTTTTTACAAACTTTTCATCGCCATGCGTAAAAAGAGTGACCGACATTTTAATTATTCACTTTTTTCACAGGCTGTCAACTTCGTGTTCTTGTATGCTAGCATACGCATTAGTTGGCAGCCCCTAACATAGCGGCACTTTTAATTATGACGCCAATTTTGTATGGCGCTTTATGTACATATGTACATACATATGTATACAAAAATACAGTTCAAATGAAATACTGCGCAATTGCCATGATAGATTGTTCTAACTTTTATTTTAATTTTTTCCATGCACTTTAATCTTTTTCCCCAGCTTACAAGAATTTCTAATAAATTTCAATAAAAAAGGATTTTCTAAGTAATTTTTATTTTATTTATCATTATAAATATAGATATATACACATAATTTTTTATTGGGCCATATACTACTCGTATGCCACGTACTGCATCCATGGCTGCACCCATGGTTGCTGCGGCTTTGACATCCGCTGTGGCTTCTGTGGCTGTGGAGCCTGTGTCATCTGCGGCGTCTTTAGACCTGCGACCTCAGCCGTAAGTCGCTGAAGCTGTGCGTTCATTTTTTTTATTTTTGTTTGTTGAGCCCTTTTAAGGCTTTGCTGCTGGTCGCTCCTATTTTTTAACGCAGCATAACTTTTAGTTTTGGGTTGGCGAGGCAAAATAAGCCGAGTCCTCTTATTTTTATACCCTTGCAGAGGGTATTATAATTTTGTCGTGAAATGTGTAACGCATAGAAGGAGACATCTCCGACCCCATAAAGTATATATATTCTTGATCAGTATCAACAGCCGAGTTGATATAGCCATGTCTGTCTGTCCGTCTGTCTGTTTCTATGCGAACTAGTCTCTCAGTTTTAAAGCTATCTTTATGAAACTTTGCAGAATTCCCTCTTTCTGTTGCACGCAGCTCATATGTGAAAACCAGCTGTATCGGACCACTATATCATATAGCTGCCATAGGAACGATCAGTCGAAAAGTAGGTTCTTGTATGAAAAACATTTTTGTTTATAAAGTTATCTTGACTAAACTTGGTATTTATTAGTTTTACTACGCTCCCCATATATATGCAAAATCCTATTAAGATCGGACAACTATATCATATAGCTGCCATAGGAACGATCGGTCGAAAATTAAGTTTTTGTATGGAAAATTTTTATGTTTTTCAAGATATCTTGACCAAACTCGGTACTTATTAGTTTTACTAAGCTCCCCATATATATGCCAAATTCTATTAAGATCGGGCAACTATATCATATAGCTGCCATAGGAACGATTGGTCGAAAATTAAGTTTTTGTATGGAAAATTTTTATGTTTTCAAGATATCTTGACCAAACTCGGTATTTATTAGTTTTACTACGCTTCCCATATATATGCAAAATCCTATTAAGATCGGACAACTATATCATATAGCTGCCATAGGAAAGATCGGTCGAAAATTAAGTTTTTGTATGGAAAATTTTTATGTGTTTCAAGATATCTTGACCAAACTCGGTATTTATTAGTTTTACTACGCTTCCCATATATATGCAAAATCCTATTAAGATCGGACAACTATATCATATAGCTGCCATAGAAACGATCGGTCGAAAATTATGCTGTTGTATGGAATATTTTTGTTTTTCAAGATATCTTGACCAAACTCGGCATTTATTAGTTTTACTATGCTCCCTCCACTTATGCAAAATCTTATTCACATCGGGCTACTATATCATATAGCTGCCATAGGAACGATCGGTCGAAAATTAAGTTGTTGTATGGAAACCTGTTTTGTTTTTCAAGATATCTTATCCATACTCGGCATTAAGTATTTTCCCTGTGCTTCTTAAATACGGGCAAAGCACTATGAGCATTTTGAAAAGGTTGGGTCTGCAAGGGTATTAAATCTTCGGTGTGCCGAAGATAGCATTTCTTTCTCGTTTTAGTTACTTGCGGCATATTTAATAGACGTGTAAACGCATCCCATGCCTTGTTTTGGTGGCTTGTCATTTCCATTTCTCAATTCTAAATGAGGACACCCAATTTGAACTATGCCACCTTTTTTTGTAAAGCACAGTTATAAAAAAAAATTTGCCGCCATTTGGTAGAAATATGTTGAAATATTGCCGCCATTTTGATGAATAAAAATGTTAAGTGAATATTACCAGCTAGTTCTTTTGCATTAACATAGGGTGTAATATGAAAAATAGAAAAAAGAGCATTTCCTTAAAACTGGCTGGACGATTTTCTTGATGTAAAAAGCAAAATGATTGATAATTCGTGGTCTATATGCTAAACTACAGTGCATTTGGGGCCATTATCGGAGGAATTAATAAATAAAGGTTGAAATTTGAATAAATATTGCCGCCATTTTGATGAATAAAAATGTTAAGTGAATATTGCCAGCTAGTTTTTTTTGCATTAACATAGGGTGTAATGAAAAATAGAAAAAAGAGCATTTCCTTAAAACTGGCTGAACGATTTTCTTGATGTAAAAAGCAAAATGATTGATAATTCGTGGTCTATATGCTAAACTACAGTGCATTTTGGGGCCATTATCGGAGGAATTAATAAATAAAGGTTGAAATTTGAATAAATATTGCCGCCATTTTGATGAATAAAAATGTTAAGTGAATATTGCCAGCTAGTTCTTTTGCATTAACATAGGGTGTAATATGAAAAATAGAAAAATGAGAATTTCTTAAAAAAAAAAACAAAATGATTAATAATTAGCTGTCTATATGTTAAACTACCGTGCATTTATGGCCATTATCGGAGATAAATAAAATTAGGATGAAAAATATGTTGAAATATTGCCACCGTTTTGTTATTATACTGTGTATAAATACATAATTGCACTGTTGCCTTATTTAGCAGCAGTCTATTTCACCAAAGATAATGTTTTATTGTAAAATGCCAATTATTTCTTTTATTAATTCATTTCTTTCACATATACAAATATTTTGAATTAATTTGTTCCCGCTCAATTCTGTATAACCACTAACCAAATAACATGTAGACTGGTCAAACCGTACATTTGGTGGTGACAAGCGTTTTTTTTGCGGCTGGTCCAAAGTCGCCTTCGTGTTTGTTCGGGTTCGAGACATGCCCGCATGCTCTCACAGCAAGAGAGTAAGAATACATATGACCTGTGTCGTGGAACGGCATCGCTGTCTTTTTACTCGCTCACTCTACAGGAAACTGCTTTGGCTTACTCTCATCCCATTGAGTAATAAAGAGACAGAGGAGGCGTTTGGATCAAAAGCTCTTTTTCGAAACACTTCGTGCGCGATAGCGAGGTTGCAAACAAAAATTGCAAACACAACACCCGGCTGTCTACAGCTACTTCTGCCGTTGCCCAAAAATCAAAGACAACTTCAGAATATTTCCCATATGAACCAAGAACAACCATAATCAAAACAAACGACTCGACAATGAAAAAATCACACCCCAAATTCT